AGTGGGTTTATTCTCAGAGTGACCTTTGCTCATGTTAATTATCTGCGTGGAGGTGCAACAGACGCTGCTTTTTACGGCTTCTTTTTCACTCTAAGGTCACGGCGTGCAGAGAAAAGCTCCCAGCGCGTTAGGACGGAGGAGAAATAACCAAGACAACACCTGAAAAGCATCAAAAAGAGCACTTAAAAACCCAACACGGCGTCCAGAATCATGCAGATGAACCCTCAGACGTGATTGCAGCCAACGTTTGAACCCAAACAGTGACTCAGCAGCTTCACGGGTAGAAAACACTGATGAAAACAAACGTGTTCACAAGTTAATTAGAGCAAAATGACCAAATAGCACGAACAGCTGGTTGCTCAGTTTGGACTCCTGGTTGCACAAATCAATCGGTTTTAACTGCTGCCAGACATTTTCACAGCTTTTAGGAGATGAAATGAGCAAAATTTGATTTTAAATTAAAACCAAACAAACATTAAACCTAAAAAAACTAAACATCTAGAGTCTAGTTTTACTTTCATGAGGCTGAGAGACGCTCGTTTCAGCCTGAAATCGACGTCTTCTTTTAATATAACAAGAAAAAAACTCTAAATTTCACGCAACATTTTCCTCTTTTGACATTTTTCCCTCACTGTGATTTTAATTGAGTTTTTCCTGCAGCTCTGTGGAAACAGAACAAACATGAAGAAGGAGACAGAACTCAGAGATGACTGAGTTAGAATGAGAGAAATCAGAAAAAGAGAAAAAGTTCATCATTTATTTTACAACTACCTGCTCCTCTGCTCACTGTTTCTGAGTCGTGCTGCATTTATTTATTGATCCAGTAGGTTGGATTTTCCTTCAAAATTGTCGTGAAGGATTTCAAACTCGTCTAAAGCGACATAAAATTGACTCGAAACTTCCCTAAGCCAACTCAGGAATTGTCCAAAATAACTCAGACTGTCCAAAGTTCCTGTGAAATAGTCAAAAATCCCCTGCCATTGGTGAAAAGGACCAAAAAAAAGGTTCTAAATGACAATTTTCAAGTCTTTTTGGACACTTTTATGTTATTTTGGGTCATTTTTAGTCTCACAGTTGTTCCAAACACGTCTACAGACTTTTTTTCATCTGTAGAAAGATGTTCCATCATGCTGGATGTATCTCCGACAACTGGCTTCTCTGTTCTCTGGTTCTGCTGCGTTTGTTTATTGATCCAGTCGGTTGGATGTTTTTTTTTTTTCAGTCTAAAATTGTCCAAAATAATTTAAAACACGTCAAAAGTAGCATGAAATTTCAAAAATGACACAAAATCTGTTGAAAGTAAACAGAAACTGTCCAAAATTTCCCAGAAAATTATTTAAAATGACTGATTTTGGACAATTTAATTCTAATTTATGTCCCAGTGGTTTTTATCAATATTGGAAAAAAAATGGAGGCACATTATGGAAACGTGACTATTTCCATTTTTACAGCCTCTAACAGTCTCGTTAACTCGTTCATCATTTATTTTATTGATCCTGTAGCTTGGATTTTCATCTCAGTCGCTCTTGTTTTAAGCTTATTTTTAATTTTCTTGTTCTTTCAATTTTTACAGATTCTTACTCTGATTTTTGGAAAAAAAGAAAGAAAAGAAAACATTTGACACCTGCTGTTGTTTTGGGGGATTTAGAGGGTTAAATAACAGATTTTTAAGAGAGATTTTAGACGATGTTTTAAAGTGAAAAGAGGCCGACTGTTGTTGAATGTTGGGAGGATGATGTTCCTTTTAAATTTAAAAATTCCGATATCGACATATATTTGGCGATATTTTCTTTACATCAGAGTTTTTAATGCAGAGAGGAAGCTTTGGCACCAAAATTGTACAAATTTAAGATTCACAAAAACAAAAGAAAACAGTTTTTTAAAGCCAGTTTTGTTATTCGGGGTTTAATTTACTGAAGCATCACAGACTTTATTGTTTAGAAATTACTGGAAAATTAGTCGCGGTTCTGTGCTTTCAAGCAGCTGAGCTTTAAAACACCTCTTGACTAAACTACGCTCTGCATCAGACACCAACTTCCTGTTTTATTTTGAAAGCCCCTCTCCAAACACGTCTTGTACTCGTTAGCCTCACCTGTCCTCCATCAGGCCACGTGCTGCTGCTCTCTGTGAGTTTCAGTTCCTTCTTCCTCGTCTGGATTCTCTTCTTTTGGACTTCTTCTGGATCCTGTCGGTGCCTCGGCTCTTGTTCGCTTCCTGTCGGCTGCAGTGAGTTTATTAAAGTTCGCTTTGGTTCCACCGACCTGCTGACGATGTTTAGTGACAGAAACACTCGACAGATTCTCGTGCTGCTGATTTAAACGTTGGAGTTGCTTCCTGTGTTTCATCTGCAGGTCGACAACCTAAATGCGTTCAGATAAAGACTCTAAAAGAACCTTTAAATCACTGGAGATGATTTTCTGTCGTCTTCGAGCTGCTGTGAATTACAGACAGACAGTGTTTCACCGTATTTCTATATCATTTACTTTTTACTCTTTATTTTTTGGTGATTTTTTTCTCACAGTTTCCGTTTCCTCGCCTTTATTTTACCTCCACTTGTTCCAGTCAATCCGTTTAATCTTCACGTTCCCAGATTGTAGTTTCATCACCAAAGCTGCCAAAACAAGCAGTTAATAAAGAAACGCGAAGACGAGCCGGATCCCAATTTAAAGCATCCGTCGGCTGATGTCCATTTTAACCGCCAACAGTGGGCTGAACGAGATCTGTAGCTGATGGTTAGCGGGTCGGACGCCGCCGTTTGTTCTCCCCGATGACCGACCAGCTGCATATTTGTCCATGAATTATTAATATCTGTTCTTATTAAAGGGATGGAGCTGCTGCTGTCTGTCTGACTCGCTCAGGTTTAACAAGAGGCTGATGGAACATAACGGACGTTTCTGACAGATTCCATCGTTGTGGTGGGTTCTGGTCGTTTCTGAATTCATAAATTCTCTGTAAATAAGTTCCTCAGCGGCAGCCGGAAGGTTCTTCTGCTGTACGACTCAACATATTGTAGATGTTGAACTATCTCCATGTTGACAGCCTCCACAAACATCAGCCGTAGAAAGATGCTCCACCATCAGATGTAGAAAGATGCTCCACCATCAGATGTAGAAAGATGTTCCACCATCAGATATAGAAAGATGTTCCACCATCAGATGTAGAAAGATGTTCCACCATCAGATGTAGAAAGATGTTCCACCATCAGATATAGAAAGATGTTCCACCATCAGATGTAGAAAGATGTTCCACCATCATCTGTAGAAAGATGTTCCACCATCAGATGTAGAAAGATGCTCCACCATGCTGGATGTATCTCCACCAACTGGCTCCTCTGTTCTCTGGTTCTGATCCAGGCTGCATTTATTTGTTGGTCCACTAGGTTGGATTTTCCTCTCAGTCTAAAACTGTCCAAAATGATTAGAAACGTAGAAACGTATACATGCCCACATAACTTAAAACTTCTCTAATGTCAGATAAAATTGTCTAAATTGACTCGAAAGTCATCTGAAATAACTCAAACTGTCCAAAATTACTTTAAAATTACACATATCGGGCCACTTTGGACGTGTTTCTGTCATTCTGGACAACTCTGAGTCCCACAGGAGTCAAAAACACCTCTAGAGATGTAGAGACCAAAAGTATACATACCGACGTCACGTAAAACTTCTCTAATGTCACATTAAATTGTCCAGATTGACTCGAAAGTTGTCCAAAATAACTCAAACTGTCCAAAATTACTTTAAACTTGTTTAAAAATGTAGTTAAATTTGCACATTTCAAGTCAGTTTGGACTCTTTATTTTGGTCATTTTGGGCAACTCTGAGTCCCACAGATGTTACAAACACCTCAACAGACTTTTCGTTTCTCTGAACTCTCCATTTCTATTTTATTTTTTACAGGATTTGGTTATTTGTTGGTGCGTTTTTAAACAACATCTGTAGAACAAAGTGATTCTGATGGAATAGTCACGAATTTTAGGCTTAAATTTGGTTGATTTTTTGACAGAATGGCATTTTCAGGAAGACCAAAAAGCTATAAAATGCTCTGTTTTTACAGTTTCTGGCTGGTAAATGGTATTTTTTGGTGTTTTTTTGTTTGTTTGTTTGTTTGTTTTTCCTTGCACGCCCTTCGATCCTGTTGTTTTAGGCTCTGGAGGATTAATTATTGAATTATTCCGGTTTTTATGACGTTTGAGTCTCAGTGAAATCCCATTTTTGAACCTTGAAATCAAGATTTTGCTGCTTTTAACTGAACTTTTCTCTGTCAGATTGTGTTTTATTTGACTTGCTGTGGTTACTGCTTGGTGCACCATGTTTGAAATCCGTTTTTATTCTTCATACTGCATTAAAAAAATGCTGTTTTTTACAGAGACATGTAGAAGTAAAGGGGTTTCGATGAGATATCACAATGTTTGAAGCTATTTTGGGCTGTTTTCCTACGTGATGCGTTCACATGCTGTCAGAAAGCAGAAAATCTTGATTCTTTCTGTGTTTTATTTACAGTTTTTGTTTTGATAAACGGTGTATTTCTGGCATCTTATTAAATCTTAAGGAAAACATGCTTCTCTCAGCTGCTGGCAGGTTTTGGGATGATTCACTGTTTTGGCTTCTTCACTGTGATTTAAAATAGAATATCTGATTATTTGCATATCTTTTTAAAAGCTCAATAGGTAAAATATAAGGATTTATTTGAGCGCCTGACAATCGGCTGAAGTTTTGGGGTTAAAAAAAAATCACAGTTTTTCCAGTAATTGGCCGGATAGAAAGCAGAGAAGATGGAGATGATTCAGTCTGACTCAGCGGTTTGTTCAAAGGCTTTAAAACGAGGCTTCAGATGATCCAGTTTGATTCTGACTCCTTTAGTTCTCACTGAATCGACTCTCAGAGCAGAGTTCTGCTGGATGTTCGGTTTATTTTCAGCAGAACTTCCCCCTCTGAGAGTCTCTTTGGCCTTTTCTCGGTGACTTAATCGTCTCTCACTCTGTTTTCCTTCCCGTCCAGAGACCAGCTTCCTCCTGGGAAACGCTCAGATCGTGGAGTGGCCGGTGGTTTACAGCAATGACGGATTCTGCAAACTGTCTGGTTTCCACAGAGCTGAGGTCATGCAGAAGAGCAGCACATGCAGGTAAAGCTTCACCTTCACGGCGTTCAGAGCTGCAGCGGCGCCTCGCTGTGACCAAACATGCATTAACGTTAATCTGTGCATCTGCATCCTGAGCGCTGACGTCCGCCTCGATCAGCTGCTGGCTTTGTGCGTTTTTAACGGTTTAGTAGCTGGAACAATAAAAACCAGCGACGTATTCACATTAAAGCAGCCGCATGTTTCCTGGATCCTGATTTATCCTGAAAAACATGAGTGACCGTGAAGGTTTTAACTCACATCCATCCATCGTTTAAGCTCAGAGAGAAACATTAAAGACTGTTATTTAAACTGTAAACTCTCTGAATGATAATCATAGGAGGCGTTTCCACGTGATTAAGAAGCTTTAACGCTTCTGTTCAATCAGCCTGTTTTATTATTCAACTTATTTCCAACTTAGTTTAATCAAACTGGGTCGAATAATTTCACAGCTTCGCAAATTAAACAAACTGATGAAATTAATTGAAACCAAACGACCAGCAGACAGTAAAGATGCGGCAACTCAACAGTTAGATGTTGTTAAAGAAGGATGTAAATGTGTAAATAATGTTTTTTACTGTGATTTTAGATATTTTCTGTGATTTAATTAAACAGGAAAAAACCACAAAATAATAATATAATTAAAATAAATATTTTTCAAATAAAAAAAATAAATACAATTTTAAAATATAAAATTTTCCCAAATTTTTAATACATTAAAACTATATTTTGAAACATAGTAATATAATAAATTATCATTTTATAAAAATACAGAATTTTGATTTGGACGGTATTTACAATTTTGGGTGGTTTTAAATTTTTTTTCTGTAAAATTTAAATAATACTTTTTACTGTGTTTTTAGATGTTATCTATATTTTTTAAAAACAGGGAAAAACTGCAAAAAAAAAAAAAAACACAGCAAAAAATGTACTTTTTGTTACCCTAATATATATAATTTTTCCTTAAAATATCTGTTAAATATATATATATATCTTTGTCAGATTTTAAATACATTAAACGTTTATTTTGATGGTCAAATATTGTAAAATAATAAATGACCATTTATAAAAAATACATATTTTTAATGTGCACATTATTTATAATTTTAATTTTGTAGTTTTTTAAAAAAAACATATTAACGTGAATTTTATTTTAAAATTTTTAAAATACAGTAAATTGTGAGAAAAAAAGGTTTAATGTTCATTTTTTTACTGCGTGTGTTCAAACTTACATTTTGAATGAAACTTATTTTGCTGCGTTTCAGTGCGGTTCTGGTCTGTTTTAAAGGTTAACATGTAAATAAATCTTCTGTGATTTAACAAATCAGAAAAAAAAATCTCTTAAATAGCAGTAAATTGCTCCAAAACATCCAGTTAAAGTGTTCAGTGTTCTTTTATCAAAGGTCTAATGTTGAATGAATGAATGTTTGAAGGTTGTTGTTTTAATAACGTTCCTGTTTGTGTGCGATGAACCGTCTCTATGAGCTGATCTGATAAAACGCACAGAACGCAACAGAAGCACAAAACCCAGAAATCACCTTCTGAAGGAGCGACTGTCTGAAATGAATCCAGCCTCCAGCTCCGTGTGTCGCTCCAGTGTCACTGAAGCCTTTTTAAAACTTGACTCCAAAGGACGGTTCGTCTCGGAGCCGACCGGAGGCCATGTCCTCGACCTGCCCGAGGATAAAAAGGTTTCCTCGGACGCCGAGCTGAGATTTATTCCTGCTGCTGAACGCCGAGAGGACAGAAAATCCCTGCGAGGGCTCAGACTGAGCGGCTGCTGCCTGACTGATGGAGGGCAGCAGCCAGTTACAGGCGTCCAGAGACACTTTTCGGGGAGTAATCTTTGATCTGTGGACTCCTGCGCCACAGTTTGGCTTCATGACAGCGGTGCAGAGACATCAGTCACGTGCACTGTAAAAAAAACAAAACCACAGGTCCTGCTGCACTGTAAGAAACTGGCAGCTTCCCCTCGTTGATGGTGCTCAATTTAAATGAGCTGTTTTCACAAGAATCATTTTATGCTGCAGTAAAATTAGACGTCTACAAATTATGTCAGTAAATTAGAAATATAAAATAAGTGGTTCCAAAGTCTTCACCTCCTTCATCTGCAGGTCCATCAGTGATCCTGTTGGTCTCCATCAGCCTGGACATCTGGACAGTTTCACCTCTTTCTTCTCAGGTTCCACAGGGATCATTAGTGAACAGAACCTATTAGGTCCAGACACGAACTCTCAGCTGGACTGATTGATGGAAAACAAGTCTTCTCCATGTCTCAGTTCTCCTGCAGACTGCATCAGGTTGTCCTCCAAGATTTCTCTACACTTTGCTGCATTCATTCACCCTCTACCTTTACAAGCCTTCCAGGCTGCTGCTGAGAAGATCCTCACATCATGATGCTGCCACCACCGTGCTTCACGTCATGATGCTGCCACCACCGTGCTTCACGTCATGACACTGCCACCACCGTGCTTTATAGTGGGGATGGTGTGTTTGTGATGATGTTCAGTGTTTGGTGTTCAACAGACATAGCTTCTAGTTTTATTCTCATCAGACCAAAGAACCTTCTTCCAGGTGACTTCACAGTCTCCACATATCTTCTGCTGAACTCTAGTCCAGATTTAATCTGAGCTTTTTCCAACAGAGTCTTTCTCTTTGTCTGCTATAAAGCTTTGATGGTGAAGAACAGACAACAGTTGTATGAACAGTGTCTAACATCTCAGCTGCTGAAGCTTGTAGCTCCTTCAGAGGACTCATAGGCGTCTTGGTGGCCTCCCTCACTCGTCTTCTTCTTGCTCAGTCACTCATTTCTTGAGGACGTCCTGCTAATAAATTCTCGTCCAAAAAGCCAAATCCAGTTGACCAGAATTCAATGTTGAAAAGCAGTTAAAGGGGGAAACCTCCACGGGGGATGAATACCTTTAATAGATGCTCTATCTTTAAATAAAACATCCGATAATAAGTTGAAATCTTCTCTCTTGCAGTTATGTGTTTTTTTAACTTCTGGGAATCCGTTGTGGTTGGTGTTTGGTTATTTGCGTCGCTCTGTATTCATTAGTTCCTGAAGACGCTGCGGCTGTTGGGGAGGAAAGTCATCAGTCAGAGTGATTATATTAGCACAGATTAAAGTGTCCTCAGCCCTTTAAGGGATAATTACAGCCATGCCAGGAAACGCATTTCTGCTGCCGCTGCATCAGTTCTTTCCATAAAAGCTCAACATAAACCTTTACGGTACGACACCGGGCCGCTGCAACCAGCCGATATACTGACGGAGAGTTAGAGGTGGAGGAGGTCGCGTTCAGAATCGATCGCTGCCGTTTGTCACGACGCTTGTTTCCTTTTCTCTTCCAGTTTTATGTACGGAGAGCTGACGGACAAGAAGACCATCGACAAAGTCCGGCAGACGTTCGACAACTATGAGTCCAACTGCTTCGAGATCCTGCTGTACAGAAAGAACAGTGAGTTCTGACAGAGTTACACTTAACTCCACGTCACTGAGTCCAAATTACTGTTGTCACCGAGTCATCTGATGAATACTTACTCAACCCTCTGAACAGCTTCTGGGAGCTTCTCTGCTCCTGTCAATGTCTTAACAACTATGACAGGAAGGAGGGACTTTATTCAGGTTTTGTGGAGGCTTCACATACTATAGATGTTTAGTTATTTCCATGTTTAAGCCTTTGCAGACTACTTCTCTCTACTCAGCTGTAGAAAGATGTTCCACCATGCTGGATGTATCTCCTTTCTGAGCCATGCTGTATTTTTTTTTTATCCATCCAAATACTCAAAACATGTCAGAAATTCCTCATCTGTCCAAAGCAGCATAAAATTGTCCAAACTGACCGAAGAATCGTCCAAAGTCACTGAAAAACAGTCCGACGTCACTCAAAATGTGTTCAAAATGATAATTATGAGTCATCATGGAGAAGTCGTTTGGGATTTTGGACACATTTTGAGTTATTTTAAACAAAATTTGAGTACTTTGGACAATCGTGAATCCAAACCCCAGAGCTTTTTACCAACACTGGAAAAAATTGTGGCTCCACATACTGAAGATCAACATCAGTGGAAAAATGTTCCACCATCAGATGTAGAAAGATGTTCCACCATCAGATGTAGAAAGATGTTCCACCATCAGATGTAGAAAGATGTTCCACCATCATCAGTAGAAAGA